ACCAGCAGCAGCACCTGGAAACTTGACAGAAATGCAAATTCTTGGAGATGAGCAAGACCTACAGAATCAAAAAGAGAGAGCCCAGAAGTCTGTTTTAATAAGCCCACCAGCTAATTCTGATGCAAGCTAAGATCTGAGACCCATTCATTGACTTAATGAAGGGGCCTCTTAGTCGTGAGTCATGGTGATGATCCCTCAAGTGTTTTACAGTTTTCCAATCGCTTTTACACCTATCGTGCCATGCAAGCCTCACTTCAGTCCTACCAGGCTATGAGTTTCCTGACTCTGTTCTGTCCCTTTTCCCATTCCAACCACTCATTTTCATGTGTATCCTGGAAGAGCCCAAGTTGTTAAGAATTTACTTCAGTCAGGCAACTACTTTCTAAACTAGGCAGCTCCATTTTTAGAAGACAGGAATTTAGGATGGGCTGGGAATGCAGAAACACCCCCTACATCCACTACACAGTATCAGGCACAACGTAGAAACACAAAGCTTTACTGGTACTCTGCTGTATTTTCAATGATAAGGGAAAGACAGGGTGCCAGTGAAGACCCAGGCAGGACTAGGTAGAACCAGTGGGAGCAGATTCTCATGGTGCTGAGTGTCAGGCAGAATGGTCTACTGCCCCCTACCAGACTCCTGACTAGCCCTAGAAAAGTCCAAGGACCCCTACCCATTGAATTGTGTCTCATTGCTATACTAGGTTGAAGTTGGCCTTTGACTTTTTTTTTTTATTATCATACACACATAGCATGATGGTCAGTTTCCTATTTGTGGCCATATTTAGCGAGGTATAATGCAGGTCAATAAAAGGCAGCGATGTGTTTCATGAAATCAGCTAATGCCGTATGTTCCCTTTTGGAGAGGCAGTGTGGCATAGTGGTTAAGAGCTCAGACTCTGTGGCCAGACTGGTTAGAGGCAAATGCTGGCTCTGCTCTCCACTCAACATGTGACTGGGAGCCAGTTATCTAGCCCCTTTACACCCCAGTTTCCTGATTTGGAAGTGAGGAGGATGACAGTACCTATCTTATAGGATCTTGGGTAGTAAATGGAAAGCATTTAGACATTGCCTGCTACAGAGGGAAGGCCGTGGCTATTATGAGGGAAGTCATCCAGTTTCCACAGTGTTATGCATTCCACTCCAATGGTTCTAACTTTGGAAGTTCCAATGCTTCTCACTCATTCCAACTTTCTCCGCAGTCATATTATAGAACGAACACTCTACTGCCAAAGAAGTATGGGTGGGAAGTCTGTGTAGAGACCTGTATGACTTACAACTTCCAGTATGAAGCTGATGGCAAATGTTCATTAGCCATAGTAAATTCTTGAGTACCTAAAATAAACAGAACTTGAAAGGAGTTTGAGACTCTTTTAAAAGGATGGATCATTCTATTGTTCTAGGCTTCTTTGGAAATGTCTAGGCATGTAGCATGTTTTGATGTTCAAGATAAGACAAAAATTTGCAGATCCGCAATGCAAGACATTATATTTGGTATGTGAGAGTAGCATTTTCCATTTCTCTTTGACACCCCTGTTGAAATACAAATAGATAACACGGTGTCTCAGGAAGAATTCAGGTCTTTGGTGTTGGATTACCCAGGTAAGAATTCTGGTTCTGTTAGTCCCTGTGTTCTGTTGGGCAACCAAATCACTTAACCTCTCTCACCCTTGGTTTTCTCATCTATAACCAGGGACTAATAAGATCTATTCCCACCTGGGTATTCTAAGGATAAAAATAGATCATGCACGTGTAAACAAGTAATACATCGATGTTCTCGGTAAACCTGAATGAAACAAAAATAATTAACAAACTTATCTAAGCCCCAGTCTGTCGCATGAAAAAAAACGTAGAATTATCTCACTAAGCTTAATACTTTTTGTGAAAGGAAGTCCCAGTTAGGCTAATGAAAGGGGGTGGGGGTGGGGTCTCCTGGTAGTATCATATACGCTAAATCAGTAGGAATACAAACAAGAAGGATAAAGATCAGGGTTATGGAATCCTGCTCCCATGTCAACAGCCAGTTCAATTATCCTGATAAACTGATGAAGCTTTAATTATAGAGGATAAGGTGCCAAGATCAACAGGTATGCAGAGAGTAAGGCTTTTCTTTTCTTTTTCTCACAAGGCTTCTCTTTTTGCCATTAGCAAGAGCCTTGCAGATTATCCAAGAAAATTCAGTTTCCTACTCCATAGGAATTCTTTAAAAAACATTTGCAACATCAAATGGGTAATACTTGTCAGCTATTTTAAGATTTAACATAAAAAGAGTGCTTAGCTTAGAAAGTAAAAGTACTCTCTTCTGGACCAGATATAATAATTTTGATCACTGTATTTTGATACCAACATCATTATAAATATGCCTTTGTTAATGTAGCTTTCCTCCCTTCCTTTTAGAGATTTCCCTTCCACTCAATGCTCCCCTGAAAAGAAATTGGGTTCCGTTGGGTTAGGAGAAGTAAACTATGCAAATAACCGTCAGAGAGATTGGCTGGATTGCCGAAGACGTCACAATCCCACCACCTAAATACAGGCTTTTTATTGGTTGTTCTAAGAGGCAGACAGGACCGGGAAGGCTCTGTCTGCATCTCTCGTGAGTTGGAGAAAGCTTTGAGTCTATACCAAATCTTATTGGGCTTTTTTTTCCCCCCTTAAAATGTGCTCAGCATCATTATCTACATATTATTACATTTTCCATGTAATGTTTCCCTATGGAAATATGTCTGAGTAAATATTTCAAGTGACTACTTACCATTCTATCAAGTGAATATATCATGGTTTACTTAACCACTATCTATCTTTTTCTTGGATACTTAGTTGTTTCCATTTTTTGCCTTTAGAGATAAAATGTAATTACTATTTTTATTCAAAATTGTATAGACTCTTTCCTCCATAGCATAGAGTCTCTGATACCTAACTGGTAATGTTTTAAAAGAGCAAAACCAAACAGATTGCCACTCTGCGACCCTTTCTCTCACAGCATCCCTAAAACCTGCATGGGAGATCCCGAAGTCTGGGCTCGTTCCTGGGACTGGTCAATCTCCTAATCTGTAGTACAAAAAGCTGGAAGTTCCTGCATCTCATTTCAGGTAGGGTGCATATTCTTCATTGTGGGTGCTTGTTGCTTCTTAGTAATGAGAGGAAAGTTGCAATCGTCATGACTCTGAACAGAGGAGGTTTGTGAAGTGCAAACTTAAACCCTGATTGTACTGTTCTGCGTGAAAGCCTGGGACTGGTAAAATGGCTGCTTTGTGTCCTTTTCCATCTCTATAGGGAATCCATACAAACCTCTGCACAATCTGTTACTTAAAGCTGAAAAGGCTAGCCCTTAAAAAAAAAAAATAAAACTGACAGAAGACAAAAAAGGGAAAAAGAGAAAATATCAGCTTTTCTCAAAGAGAATCAGTTGTTTGTTATTTTACATCTGAAGCTAGATATCTGTGGCAGTTACATCTATTATTCTAGGTGGCACTTTTAGATATGATGATAAGAGCAAGCAGTTACCATAGAAAAAGAACTCAGGTGTTTGGGTGTTTGGCTAGGAACCTTGTGAATGTTCTCTTAATCCCCACAATGGCTCTGCAAGGTAAATGTTATCCCTATGGTACAGATTAAAAAAACAGGTTCAGAGAGATTCTCGCACTTTCATAGGCCTGAAATCCGACCCCTGCTCTGTCCGATTCTAACTGTAAAAAGGTGTCATACATAGCTCACCCTTCACAGCCCTAATTCTGAGCCACTCCTGTGGTAAAGAATTTATCAGTGAGTACCAGTCTACTGTTAAATATATCTGCATTCATTCAAAGAAATTTATGAAACACGTTTCGTGGGCAAAGGCTTTACAAGATGCTCATGGAAGACAGAGAACAATAAAAGACATTGGTCCCGGCCTTTGAGCTTAAAGTCCATTTGGGGAAATAGAAGGCACAAACAAAATGTAAAACAACGATGAAAGATTGAAATGGTAGTCTGTCGGCATTCCCAGGGGGAGATAATTAAGTATCCCAGTCAGGGGAGAGAGAGGTCCCTACAAGGGACTGAAAGAACTCTGAGGAAGACATGCCTACACATGGTTATCCATATCGTGGGTGTTAAAAGAATACAGTGTTACTTTAGGATGATTTGGAAGCCTTTAAGTAGGTAAGAACTATATAAATCATCTTGAAAATAGAATCATTCAATATTTGGATCTCTTTAGTTTTACATCTGCATGTTATAGAGTTTTTATGGCATAGTAGTGATGGGAAAAACATTTTTGTCTTTTCATTCTTGGAAACCATAGGACAGTGATTCTCAAAAAGTATGGTGCATTGGGGTGTCTGGGTGGCTCAGCTGGTTAAATGTTCAACTATGTTGTCACAGGGCATGGTCTCGCAGTTCGTGGGTTTGAGCCCCACATTGGTCCATGCTGTCAGCACAGAGCCCACTCCACATCCTCTCTGTTCTGCCCCTCCCCTGCTCCTGTTCTCTTTCTCTCTCCCTAAAATAAATAAACATTAAAATAAAATCTTTGGGGTGCCTGGGTGGCTCAGTCTGTTAAATGTTTGACTTTGGCTTGGGTCATGGTCTCGTGGTTCTTGAGTTCGAGCCCTGGGTTGGGCTCTGTGCTGACAGCTCGGAGCCTGGAGCCTGCTTTGGATTCTGTGTCTCCCTTTCTCTCTGCCCCTCCCCCACTTGTGTTCTATCTCTGTCTCTCAAAAATAAATAAACATTAAAAATTTTTTTAAAAATCTTTAAAAAAAAGTATGGTGCATGGATTACCAGCAACAGAAAACACCTTGGAATTTAGTTATGTATGCAGTTCCCCAGGCCCCTATATCACAGGGAGAGAATCAGAATTTCCGGGGGTGTGAAGCCTGAAAACCTGCACTTGAAACAAGGGTGGGGGTGATTCTTACACACATTGAAATTTGAGAACCACTTATATAGGAGAAGACTTGGTGGATCAAATGTATTATTTTTTTATAATTCAACGAACATTTACATTTATTTTAAATCTGAAAAATCTGGAGTGCTTCACGAATCTGTGTCATCCTCGCACAGGGGCCATGTGAATCTTCTCTGTTTCAATCCAATTTTAGTCTATGTGCTGCCAAAGCGAGCACAGTTGATCACATTTTTGGATAGATTTGTGAATTAATAATATCTCCTATTTATTGAGCACTTACTAGTTGCCTGTCAAAAACTCCCAAAAACTTTGTAGGTAAGTTCATAACCTCCATTTTACAGATGGGAAAGTGAGGCTCCAAGAGGATGAGAACTTGGCCGCGGTCACGTGACTGGGAAGAACTAGCCCAACCAGTTCTTCTTGCCTTCAGTGACTATACTTCTCCCACAATGGCCACTGCACTGTTGCCTAGGCTGTGCTATGGCCTCCATACTTATTAATAATAGCAACAGCTATCATTTGAGTGCCTTTTATGTGGCATATAATTTCAGCTTAAACCTTTCTGTAAGTTCAAATGGTACTTTGCCAGGTAAGTTGACTAAGATGCAGAGATTCAGTATATCTCCCAAAATTACTGTCTGCCAGTTGAAACAGGACTTTTTTACTCTGGTATGACTTTTCTCCATGTTCACTTCCTCTTGACTGTTTGTAAAATCGTTTTTGGCTCTGTCAGGACTTCCTTTCCTTGGTGTAATATATCCTGACCCTTTGCACCTAGTTTGGAATGGCAAACCAAGAGTTGAAGTGTAGGCTTTCTTTCTAACAGCTCCCATGCTTTTTCCCAACACAGGAATGGAGAGCTACAGTCTGAATCAAGAGGGAAGTGTTGGTTGCTCGGAAAAACCTGCTGATCTTGTGACTGCAAAAAGAGAAAGACAACTTAACCAAAGAAGCCTTTCCCGGGAAGGGGGAATCACACCATGTGAGATCTGGTTCTGGATTATGTCTTAGATCATTTTCAGGGAGTTTCATATGGCCGCAGGGCATCCCCAAGCAGACAGAGGGACAAAGGGCTGTTTTCATTGATGAATCCAACCCGGCTTGCCTTATGCCTCTCACAGGGTGCTGGTGGAGGAAGATAATATTCTCTTTCAAGATGCAATGACTTAGCACAATTCAGTAATATAAATAGCTAAAAATATATAAATGTCTGCACCCTTTCACCCAGTAATATACCCTTCTGGAAAATAATTCAAAAGATGAAAACAAAACAACAACACAACAGAAAATATATAAAGGAGTATTGTTTATAGCAGTGAAAAACCTGAAAGGACCTACATGCTCAAGATTAGGAAGTGGGTGAATAACAATGGTGTAAGAATGTAATGGAATGTTATGAGGCTATTGAAAGAGATATGTATGATAAGTGTATAGAAACACAAAAAGCCTTTTTGAAATAACATAAAATGAAAGCAAAGCATTCGAATGCAAAATTGTCTTGAGCTAGAATAAGAGCTTTGGAGTCAGGCAAACATGTGTCATTAGCTTTATGGACTTAGACAAATTGCTTAACTGGAGTCTCAGTGTCCACATTTATAAAATAAAGAGTAAAATATCCATCTTTTAGGGCACCCGGGTGGCTTAGCCGGTTAAACAGCTGGCTCCTTTTTTTTTTTTTTTTAACAGATTAAAAAAAATTTTTAATTTATTTCTGAGAGAGTGAGAGAGACAGACAGCATGAGCTGGGGGGGGGGGGAGTTCAGAGAGAGAGGGAGACACGGAATCTGAAACAGGCTCCAGTCTCTGAGCTGGCTGTCAGCACAGAGCCTGATGCGGGGCTCGAACCCACAAACCGTGAGATCATGACCTGAGCCAAAATCGGACGCTTAACCGACTGAGCCACCCAGGCACCCCCAGCCAGCTCTTGGTTTTGGCTCAGGTCATGATCTCACATGGGTTCCAGCCCATGCATTTGTGGGTTCCAGCCCTGTGTTGGGCTCTATGCTGATAGCATGGAGCCTGCTTGGGATTCTCTCTCCCTCTCTTTCTCTGCCCCTCCCATGCTAGTGTGCACACACACTCTCTCTGTCTCTCAAAATAAATAAACAAAAACTTAAAAATAGATAAATAAAATACATCTTTCCAAGGTTATTATAAGAATTAAAGATGATATAAACTATATGGCTAAAATGTGGGTAAACCATGGATAAAGATAGGAAGGGAGTGCTATGGAATAATTGTAAGTTTTACGCTAGGATATTGGATTACTGAAAATTTCATTTGAAATGTACCTATTTTTTGATGTTTTAAACGTAATATAATTTTTCCCTTTTCTTTCTCCATACTCTTTTTTTAAGGTTTATTTATTTACGTTGAGAGAGAGATAGAGAGCAAGCAGGAGAGAAGGGGCAGAGAGAAAAGCAGGCTCTGCAGTGACAGTGCAGAGCCTGACATGGGGCTTGAACTCACAAACTGGGAGATCATGATCTGAACTGAAAGCGAGTCAGATGTTTAACCGACTGAGCCACCCAAGGACCCCTCTTCCTCCATACCGTTGAAAAACTGCATACTTCCTGTGTAGGAAGTGTGTGCACATCTCATCAGGAAACTTGCCTAAGTGTATTCCTAAGCCCTATTTGGAAGAGGGTCCCAATTCCTCTGTAATCAGCTGTAGGGAAATGATAGGAACCTTAAACACTGACATACAGAAAGGTGGCTCAACTAGGTCCTGCTTTCCAAGCACTTAGAGGTTTATGTGACCGTTGATAGATACGGGTCTCTGTCTCTACAATTTGAAGGTGGAGAAGGTTCTCGTGACCAAGATGTCTTCATCCACCTTTGCTACCTCCCACCTCCATTAAACCTTTCCCTGCAGAGCTAGATTCATATGAAAGAAATATTTTCTTTTGGCTAATATATATTGAGGTACCTCTTTGCATCAGGCATTGTGTTTGGCACATATAAATACTTACTAAGCCAGCTGGAATATGCTTAGAACATAGGAAACCTTCTAGAAAACCTCCACCAGGATAATGTTGACATAGAAAAGGGTATTTCATGTGGATTTTCATCTATCCATATTCATCCAAGATTAGCAGAGAGACACAAGAATAAAACTTGTTGCCAGGTTTTATTCTGGGCAAGTAAGGAAATTAACCAGAAACAGGTTCCACGGGAACAGTCAGGCAATGGGGTGCAAAAAGGGTGAAAAGCCATTTAGACTTGAAAATGCAACAGCAATCTTCTTACTGATGAGAAATGAATTGTGGCAAAACTGTGCCTGGGGCTTCTTCTGTTAAGCTTTGGGTCAGTTACTTCAGTTACCCAAAAAAATTTCTGGAAATATTACTCTACTTGGCAGTAAAACAAAGATGATTTCCACCTGGGGTTATACCAAATTCTTTTTAATTGATTGTTTTTCCTCCCCATGTTCTGCTCCCAACAGCCGGGGATGCCACTGATGAAATATTCAGCATTGGAATGATATTTGATGTATAATTAAATAGGATACATTTAGCAGTTCAGTTTTATAGACCTTTCATCTTCAAGTTAATAAATCTTCACAGAGAGAATCTCACAAACAAAACCAAAATATTTTTGGGAATGCTATCTTCCTTGGAAAAATACATAATCCTGAACATAATTATAATATAGAGGAAAGAAAACATTTATCAAGAACTTTTATGTGCCAGGCAAGGTACTAAGTGCTTTACACATTATTTAATTTAATCTTCGTGACCCTGTGAGATAGGTATTATCAGCTCCACCTTACAGATGAAGTAACTGAGGCTCCAAGCAGTTATTTGCTTGAGATCACAAAGTATGTATGAGCATATACAGGGCTGGAACTCAGGTCAGATTCTGAGTCTCATGCTTTTCTTTAAATTTTTACAGGAGTTCATTTCCAAAGCACTTTCATTTACTATGGTTCATTCCATCCGCTGACAAACACAGTGATATTGAGGACAATCATAGGATTCTCTCTAATGGAAGTCACAGGGTCAAGGTCAGAACAAAGGCTTATAGCAATCATAACCTCAGTGACCTTCTATTGAGTGCCTTCTGTGTGATATCTCTGTGTTAAGTACTTTTAATATGTTTTCCCCATTTTAATCTTCATAATAATCTTTGAAGGTGGGCACTATTATTATCCCATTTGATGGATGAAAAGACCAAGACTCAGAAGGGCCAACCTCTTGCTCAAGTTTATACAGTAGCAAGTTAGGACAAGAATTTGTAATAATGATAACATGATTAATAAAAGTAGTTGCTATTTATTGAGCTCTTCTCACATGTTAGATATGGCTTAAATTTTTTTGAACCCTACATGCTTTGAGATTTACAATTGGCATTGCTGTTTTTTAAAAAAAATATTTTAAAGTAATCTCTATACCCAGTGTGGGACTTAAACTTAAACTCCAAGATTGAGAGTCACATGTTCTACCTACTCAACCAGCCAGGTGCCCCTGGCATTGCTCTTTTATTTTTTTATTTTTAATTTTTTTTAATGTTTTATTTATTTCTGAGAGAGAGAGAGAGAGAGACAGAGAAACAGAGAGAGAGAGCATGAGCAGGGGAGGGTCAGAGAGAGAGGGAGACACAGAATCTGAAGCAGGCTCCAGGCTCTGAGCTAGCTGTCAGCACAGAGCCCGACGTGAGGCTCGAACCCACGAACCGTGAGATCATGACCTGAGCTGAAGTCGGATGCTTAACCGACTGAGCCACCCAGGTGCCCCTGGCATTGCTCTTTTAATGCTCACAATTTTTAGATAAGGAAATAAGACTTAAAGAAAATAAATTAATGTCTCCAGAGCATACACATGGGAAGGCATAGAACTAGGATTTGAATGCAGGTCTCTTTGACTCTAAGACCTGTGTCCTTAACCATGAGACTTTGCTCACTCCTGGTCTGTCTCTATACACCCTTGCTACCCAAAGTATGGTCCCCAGGCTAGCAGCATTGGTGTCCCCTGGGAACTTATTATAAATGTGGAAGCCCAAGCCATGCCCCAGACCTACTGAATCAGAAGTGTATTTTAACAAGATACCTGCATGATTCTTGTGCCCGTTAAACTTTGAGAAGCACTGCTCTGTAGCACTGCCAGCATTACACACACAGACACACACACACACACACGCACACACACACGCACGCACACACACACGTGGGGGAGGGGCAGAGAGAGAGAGGGGGGCTTGGCCCGTTGATAGCAGAGA